TATTATAATCAATTCTTTGAGCTAAGGTGATTGCTTTGTTTCCTTTTTCCCTTTTCTAGATCTGGGTGATAGTTATTCAGTAATTGAGGGTTGAACAAGTAACAAAATAATTTTTGGTTATCAGGTATGTGCCGTTTAGAAATGTAAAAAAAGTAAATTTTGGAACATTTTGAAACACCCTTTCAACAACAACAACAACAGCTAGACAAATACCATATTTAACCGTATTAAAAAAGCAGCCATTGTGCTTTTTAGCTCGACTATTCGATAAGAATAAGTAGAGCTATTGTAGTCACCCGAGCGTCGGCGTCGGCGTCCGCGTCGGCGTAACCACTTATGTTAAAGTTTTTGTAATACCTCAAATATTTTCAAAGTCCATTGACATATGGCTTTGAAACTTTGCACTCTTGTTCACCATCATGACCCCAACCTGTAGACAGAAGAGGTAACTCTATCAAGCATTTTGACAGAATTATGCCCCTTTTTCGACTTAGAATTTACGTTACAGTTTTTGTAATACCTCAAATATTTTCATAGTCCATTGACATGTGGCCTTAAAACTTTGCATGTACTTGTTGACCATCATGACCCCAACCTGTAAACAGGAGGAGGTAACTATCAAGCATTTTGACAGAATTATGCCCCTTTTTTGACTTAGAATTTACGTTAAAGGTTTTGTAATACCTCAAATATTTTTAAAGTTCATTGACATAAGGCTTTGAAACATGTTGAAATTTTATACTCTTCTTTTAGAGCATAATAGGACTCTCTCCACGGCCTATAACTGTAATATGGATTTAAAGAAAAAATTTGCCTTTTTCTTTACTGAGAAAATTTTACCTTTTAATCAAGGCTTATTTTACTATCAAGCACTAAGAATAATCGAGCGTTGCTGTCCTACCGACAGCTCTTGTTAAAAGTAAAGTTTACGTAAAGTAGTTTTCTTTAAGTAAGTAAAACTACATTATTGAATTAAATTCAAATTCTTCAAGGTAATGATTACATATGTATGTTAACCTTACCAGATATTTCTTACAGTATTGTAGATGTACGTTTATAAATAACAATTTACATATAAATAATGAAACAAAACGATAACAGATTCAAAGTTGCAAGCTGTACAACGCTAAATGGGTAGTGCATGTATTTGTATAGTCTGCCTTTTTTCTCTTCAACAAAATATTCCAATAAGTAAACTCAGCCTGTCAAATTCATTTTTATTTGAACACAGAAATATTTTCTTTCCTAGATATATTAGAAAAGAAAAGTATACACAACGGAGTGCTTGAAAAAGTCTGAAAAAAATGTGATAAAGAGATCCCAAACACGCAATGAGAAAGTGTACATAAAATGACTATATCAGACTGACAATGACTAGACAAACTCGGGCGGCTCAAAGAAAAAAAAAAGGTATTTATACTTTAACATCAATTGTGTCAATTGTTGTCTAGACACTGTCTTTGGTGTCTTACTTGTCATTAAATCTATCCTTAATGTTAATTTAATAATACAAAGGTATGCTGTAAGTACTGAAAGTTATTTTAAACAAATACCTTGATATCTAGATTTTTCTTGAGATAAGATACGTTTCAACTATGAGCGCATTAATTTGTTGCCATTTTCACAAATCCTTCAACTACAATGTGAAATGTAATCAACGTAGAAAGCAAGTTGCATTTCAAATGAGTTGATTTGCATTTCAAAGAAAAGGCGTGGTGAATTTATAACTAAGCTCATAACATAAGTTTGATAAGAACTTGTTTGATCAAAAGCATTTTGAGAAAGATAAAATGAACAAAATGAGGACAAGAAACTGTAAAGAATGATTATCTATTCATATATAATAACCTCTCAGTTCTGCAATTCAGATTCGGAAGAAGAAATATCACCTTAGATTAAATGAGATGTGGTTTAGTGTGGGCAATTGTTCCTTTGCGTATGTGCATTGAAATGCATGACTTATAAAACTGAATCAAAGAAAAAAAAAATTTTTTATATCTTATATCTACATCATTATCACTTTTATTTCTCTTCTAAGGAGTCGTTGGAATAGATGTTTAGTAATTGTTTAAATTAAATCAAAATACAGAAGACATTATATCTTTTTAAGGATGTCTGACCATTGTTATGTGGAATATAAGTAAATTGAACGCATCTAACACGAGAACGTACGATAATGTAAACTTAATATATGTAACGCACATCTATTGATTGGTATGTGAAATAAAAAACGCTGCATCAAAATTAGAAAAGTGCGCATCAAAGTTAAATGATATTCTCTCACACAAACCAATATTCATAAAGCTCCATGAAGATACCCTACATACATATTTTAATTTGAACAAATAATTTCATTGCCATTACACAATGTTGCTGTACTGATGAAATTTTTTAGAAACAATATACATTGAAAATATTTGACGACATAGCGTGTTATTTCTACCGAAAAAGAGTACCACATTTTATTTAAAGATGGATTTCGTATGAAATATACCCATATTAAAAGGAGGACGCAGGAAATAAATATCTTTAAACATAATACTTTAAAAAGTGCACACGTCACAATTATTGGTGCACTGTCTGCACCACTTTATTACAAATTATATAACTAACTGAACACCAGATTTCGGACTATATTGCTTATTAAAATAGATCACTGTGCTTCATTACTGTCGTCATATCGTGTATGATTATAAATATCATTAAGCATTATGTACAGATGCAAATTAATTAAGCAATTTACAGTGATAGATAATTAAAGAATTAGACGTAAGTACTGTTTTCAACATTAAGAAAATGTTTCTTAATAATATGTTTTGCACATTTTATATATATTTGAAAGCCCTCCGTTGATCTTAATTCTTTTTTTACGCTGTTGATTTTTTTTGTACTGGAATGTAAACAACAGGAGTAACGATGATTGTAATATATATAATTTACATAAATTGTGCAATTCATTCTGAAATCGTTATTTTTTATTAAAATGTCTTCAAGTATACTGGATTCAGACCCTCTGTCGGACAGATCCACTTACCTTTTTACGTCTGGTTATACATGTGTATATACATGTATAGACAATCTATAAATATTCATAATGTCAATATATTCATGCATGGGATTAAAAGCATCCGTGTGGTATAATGATTTTGTGTAAAATTCTGTTGCGTAAGAGAGAAAAAGCATATATTAATTAATCACGTTGAACTTAACTTAAATAAACACATTCAGACATGGTTTATTCGTCAGCAGGTTAGTAAATTGATACTAAGTACAAAGAAATTCTAAGCCGATAAATCCGTCAGATACCATGTTTTTTAAATGACTCCTGCATTTGATCCTATCATAAAACCAACAAATCGCATGTGTGTATGTCGTAATATGGTTTAGAAGTGTTAATTAACTCATTCTATTCCAGGTAATAACAGTCAAATAAATGTTTACGTAACATGCAGACTTACGATATTTCGCAGTATCATATGGAAGGAATTGTTTAAAGTACCTTGATATACCACCGAGAGACGAGTTTCTTGCATATCAGACTGGCGTTTCCGTGAGTTTTACCCATGCCGGAAATTTCATCTGGCATGGGGGGTTCCAGATGAGTCGCGTGCTGTACAATGGCACGCTTAGGATGACGTCATTTTTACCGTTATGAATGAAGTTGTAATTCATACGCTGTTGTAAGAAAGTAGTTACGGTTGTAATGATATAAATTTTCATTGAAAATAAAGATAAAGAATTTAAAATATAATCGAATATGGTAGAATATGCAAGAAAAAACATCTGACATATGTTTGCGGTTCGGATCGGAATATCCGTCCCTCGGTCACCCGCCCATGGGCGGTAACTCGGCAAGCCTCGTTACCGCCCAATGGGCGGGTCACCTCGGGACGGATATTCCGATCCGAACCGCAAAATATGACAGATATTATTATTACCACACATGCTGGTTGTATTTAGCATGCTATAAAACATGTCTCAAATTACTTACTTCTTCAACGGTACAGGAAGTTGATTATTTATTTATATATTTTATAGATGATTAATTTATACTACAGATCGTTTGTAATTTTCAGAGATAGTTAACAAGTTATTAAGTAATAATATTAGTACTTACATGTACTATAAGTTTTAATTAACACTTTTTATGAAGATAAATAGAAAAGGCACATTTTGTTTTTTATCGTCTTTACAGATTTAGTCCATGTTATTGGGCTACCGATAACATTCTTATTATTCTGCTTATACATATATATATATATATACTTATTTGTTTATTAAAGATTATAGAATTCATGTTTGTCTTTCTTCCTTGCAAATGAAAACAATTTATTTTTTGAGACATAATGTGCCTTTAAGAAGATTTAAAACATTTGTTTAAAATGTTCAGCCTTTTATATTCGAGTACCCCGTGTAAATGTAAATCTTTAAAATTCCATTCACTTTATCAACATTCCAATTCAGTGGCATGTAACATGCATGCTTAGTGCATTTTTTCAAGTTAAACGGGAGAGAAATTTAACCTCCATACATTAATCAATTGTCGTCTTACAGAGAATAAACACGTCCGCTTAAAAATAAATAGTAGATTTCATTTGATACTGATAAATCGGTCGGTCGGCCGGTTGTTTTATAAAACATGTAAATTATTTACATGACTAGACAAGAAGATGATCTTGTTACAATGTTTAACATGAAAAATGCGGCGGGACTGCTGCGTATTGTCCAAAGTGCATTTGTTATTATTTAGGAACTGTATTTCAGAATATAAAGAAACATTTTAAAATAGATGATCAAAATGATGTAATATTATCATTTTAAATATTATAAAAGTATAAGTATCAGCATAATATTTTTACACTAGCAAAGGTATAACATAAATGTATTGAATTAATTTGTCAAAGAATTTAAATAATATTTTATTTAACAATCATAAATCATCCATCATTTCAACTGAAAAGAAGACTTAAAATAAATAGTATATTTGTTTCAAAGTGATTGTTTTGTACATGTGACCAGATTTAACCAGAAAATATATATCTTACGTACATATGCTTTACAATTTAATTGTCAATACCGTTATTGTTTAAGCATAGGTATTGTAGCACTAATCAAAACTAAAACAGAAACATACTTAATATCAGAACAATACAACGATGACAACGATTGCCAATATATGTTTCTAAATAATTTCTGATGACTCTGTTATAGTTTGATTATTGTTATTTTGTAATGCAATAAGTTTGGTAGACGATGAATTTCTTCCATGTTCTATACTTTGGAAATATCCATTTTCTGTTGATGATGTCTGTGGATCTAGATCAGTAGGCTGTTTAAATAAACAACAACATTCACGAGCGTTTTCAGTTTGTTCATCCTGCTGCACTTTTTCACTTTCTTCGTTCACATATTTTCTCCACAACACGATATGCTGCAATTTCAAATATGAATTACAGAAAGTAACTTGGAAAATCATTTAAATGTTAACAGTAAGAACGTGTTTAGCCATATCAAAAGGAAGAAAAGTGCCTTAATGTAATCATAAAATAGAAGAATAATATCAAAACCATAAAGAACGATTAAATAGGAAAAAAAGAAAATGTTGCAGACTTGTTTTGATTTAGAATGTTTATCGGCGAAATTTGTGAGTACAAGACCCCAGCACCGGCGTAAGAAACTTTCAACACAGTGAAATTAAAGATTAAACTGAGGCTACTGCAGATTTCTGTTCCTGCACACCATTTACATTTATGAAAAGTTAACAAAAACATTGTTGATACGATACCAATGTCCATTGTTAATGAGTTATTTTATCAAATAAATTACAACACCCAGCAAATAATAATATTAAAGATATACTTACAACGAATAATGCAACAATGGTTCCTAATAGAAATCCAGCTATGACATCAGAAGTGTGATGCTTGTTTTCCCTGATACGCCCCAGACCACATAGAGTTGCAGCCAATATAAGACCAGTTTGTAGAAATATCTTCATTAACCGAGAGAACCTAATTTGTAAATGGTTTTCGATGTACATCTGCAAAGCATTCAATGCAAAATAGCGTGAAATTGATATTTTATAGGTATATTTTGTTTATTAAAGTTTTGATACTTGTTTGAAAAAAGAACAATATACACATTTAAACCCTTATTTGTACATGTTAGTATCTTTTATCAAAGAAAATAGCATAAACATGCTTATAATATTAACAGCAATGTATGATTTTTTTATAGTTAAATTGAAAATAGACATTTTGGCTTTCTTCTATAGACAGGCGTTGGAATGTATCCATAATTAAATAATTCAGTAGGAATGCCTTTGATATAAACAATGTCTTAATAAAAATAATTTAATATTTAAAACAATAAATCATTCCTACTTGTTAATTCGTCTCTAAATATAACTCATTAACTAATAATTAAGAAGAATTATAAAAATGTAATTACACTAAAATAAACCGCAATGTACATTGCAAAAGATGAATGACCGGACGGGAAGGATTGTCGGCTGCTTCTGATTTCTTTTTCGTCATTTCCGGCACAAGTGTATTCTGATATAAACCTTTAAAGCAGTTAAACATTTATTACAAATTTATCTATTTAATATCATTATTCATGTTCGTTAATAGTCTTAACTTATTCATTATGAAGATAATCATAACGTGAAATATGTCATACGATAATATGATATACATGAGAATAAGTTTGCATATATTTTTAGATCGTTTGCAATTAAACGTTTTATTAATTTCTTCATCTAAGACAAATTGGCCTACACTTCTTATTAAGTAGCAATTGAATCGAATAAATATGCTACATATAATGCTAGTAAACGAGTTAAATGAATCAAACATGAACAGACATTATCAAAATTTGATCTGGTTCATTATAGCCTATATATTGAATCAATTAATTTAACGATTTTCAGTAAGATAATAATCAAATGTATTATATTATGAGCGGCATAAATGATACTTCAAAGATCTATCATCATTTTGTCCTATTGAAAATGATTCATAAATTCATACAGATTACTTTAAATCAGCTTTAAGTATAAAAATAATTAAGGAATACATTATTTCCATTCTATTTGTAATAGGTATCATACGAAAATTTAATTAAGACTTACCCTGGGCATGAAGTTATGTTAAACTGAGGTTTACAAACATCAAAGAAGTTTGGTCTTAGAACTCCAGTTTTGTTTTTCATAGCGTCTACAAACAATTGTTGTATAAGGAATCCGATCATGAAGACAATGTAACTCTTTACACAGAAAATAACTATAGCACCACTTGCACTCTGGTAGTTCTGTCGGCATTTGTTATCCAAGTAATTGAATAGTTCTACCAATATTATCTAAAAGAAAACAAATATTGTTGTTTGTCCATGACTCTACAAGCTTAACAATTAAACCTTCATGAAAAAAAAATGAAAAAAAAACAATATTATATAATGCATAAATGCCTACGTCCTTTTAAACGTAGGGTGTGGTACTTTTTTAAGTTACTGAAACAATAACCTTGTGCAAAATAAAATACTTCACAAAATTAGAATTCAGCCAACATAGAAAAAGATCGTGCTCTGCAGATAATTGTGACATGCTATTCATTTTGATGTTCAATTGAATACATTTAATTTAAAAATTGTTAAATACTACATCTTGACATCTTTAATTTATTAGTATATATTCACGAGAAAACAATTCACGTTTTGCGCCACTCGTGAAATATACCTTTTGGTGCTCACTCGGTGAAATATATTCCGATCTTACACTAAACTAAACAAATTTTCTTTTTATTACATGCAAAGAAACGTTTTAAAAAGACATTAAACCTACTACTGAATGAAAAGCGCGCCAAATAATAATACAACGTGACGTCATTTGCGACGTCAAGTCATTAAGTTGGTACCCAGTACTGTACACGCTGGTATTTCACTGAAACAACGTAAGGGGCTTAAATTCAAAACAGTGAAATTATCAAAGTGGTAATTTCACTGTTTCAAACAGTGAAATTACCAGTTTTATATCACTGATATATTTCTATAAATCACCGAAAAGCATGTAATAAATACATTTAAGGTAAAAATTGTAAAATACTATATCTTGACATCTTTAATTTATTAGTATATATTCAAGGGAAAACAAATACCGTATTGCGATCAATCTTTGGAATCATTTGTAAATAAATTCTTACCAATAATAAAGCAGCTGTCAACCCTACTGCTACCATAACAGGTGTTGAAATTGTTTCTGGTACAGATGGGTAACTTAGGGATTTGTCGTCACAAAAGAAACCTCTCTCATATGGTTTTTCGAATAGAAACAGATAAACTGCGATAAGGGATGCTGCAAAAGATGAATACGTTTAGAATGATAGATACGATTCTTGAATACATTTTGCTAGGATGAAGTGGACAATAAATTAAAAGAACAGAGAGTAATTGAAATATATAATGTGCATTAAAATCAAAGGATTTTCACATTGTTATTAAACAAAACTCGTGTGATGACACAAAGAGCAAAAAGAAATGAATAAACAATTGGATCAATCAATCAAGCAGTAAATCAATCAATCAATCAATCAATTGACAGATATGTACAATTTGTTTTCAGTGAAAACATGCGTATTTGTCACTGTCGAGAAGGGTTACAATCATAAGTTTTTATTAGTTAATAATCTATGCATCGAAATTATTATTCCATGAAAACTTTGCTTGTTGTCGCTCTCTCAAAAATTGAAAGAGAACTTTCTGGTAATTTTTTCTTGCCCGATTTCTTACAAAATTTGCATCGCAAAATACAAATAACATTTAATTAGTTGATATATGTAAGTACAAATACTTGCAAAAAATGTCATATTCTTTTAAAGCTACACAAGATAATATATTCCGCAACACTTCCAACATCAATATTTTATATAGTTTGTCACTATTTGAATTGCTCTTATTGGATCTTACATTTATGATATTTTTCTTCTCTGATATACTAGACTATGCTTTTTATTTGTGAGTTGTCTTCTCGCTACTTGAGAAAAGTGAACATTTTGTTACATCGTTATTTACTGTATAATGCGTTATACTGTTTGTCAGCGTTATACGGGCAATAAGGTTAAAACATACATTTTTATTAAATTAAAGGAAACGATTGTTCAAACATACATTTAGCTAAATACTTATACATGTACAATAAATATGCATCAACGTTGACATGACATTTATACATCTTTATTAACATAAATGCATAAAATTAACAACGCCATTTATTTAACAACATTACTTTTAAAATAGACCATGCATTAAACAATACAATAATTCGTACTTTCTGCATGTATATACAATAAAAAAAGGAAAGAGAATTTCCGTCTTAAGAAAGGGAAACGTTTTTATAACGTATAGATAATAATTACAACATGCAGGATATTATCACGTTTGAAAAACGTTGCGATTAATAAAAATATTTGTCACAAAAGTAACGAAATGTAAACAAAAAAGTTTGTTTACTTGGAACCATACAAAATACTATATCACTGAAACTGTACTTATCGTCAAAAGGCCAAAGAAGCATGTAATGGTTCTCTTATTTGGCCATTGTGTAACCTTTTTACAATAACATCGGGACACACACAAAAAACAACCAACCCCATAAAACCTATGCAAAATGAATGTAAAAGCATTTCTGGGGCATAATTGCATAATGGACCTGTTATAAATTACAATCTTATATTATGTGATTCATCAATTTAGGAGAATTATTTTATTTTTTTCATTTTTAGTGTTTTGTATATACTGTTAACTGTATATTTTTAGAATGATGTTGAGTAAACGCCTGGAGGTTTTGTATACAATACAAAACAGAATCAAACAAAAAGAAATTTTGTTTAAGATTTTAAAGCGTTAAGGTTATGTAAGTGAAGAAATATATGCCACCGTAAACAATTAATTCAAATGTTGTTTTTTTGGTCTCATAACACGCACATTTTATACTGCACAAACATATTAAATGAATCTGATAAAAGTACATAATATTATGTCATTTAAAATAGAATTATATGAGATGTGTAAGAAACGATTACATATTATAAAAACATATTTAAATATATGATTATATATAATACACACCTTGTAAATAATGGGAATGCTGTAATTGATTCTATTATTTTTTACTGTTGTTTGTAAACGTACATATTTCTTCTTATGTATCTGAATAACTATATAAAGAAATTCACTGGTTTGATGTAATTTACTTCCAATCTGTTAAAATAAAACTTTACTAAAAAGTTACTTGCAGTTAACTCGTTAATATTAATATCTTGCTTTTGAATTAATGCATACAACTAAGCATCGGCTATATTTAGAGAGAGATTTAGCATTTAAACGGTATTTTACATCATTGTTAAATTTTGAATGAAATAATTTTAATAAATTACTTTTGAAACACGTGTGATGTAGAACTTTAATGCTAAAGAATATTTGAATAGGAACTTTCATAAAATTTACCTGCAATCCAAATTATTAAATCCAAAACTATTCTAATAATAATCCTTCGCCTACTACACTTTCTTTGGGAGATACTCTCCATCGTGCAATTTCAACAGTATTCAATTTTCATCATAGACACAAAACATTTACCTCGAGGAAATACTACAGTTGTGTTTATATACCTATGTTCTTTATATAGTTTTTGTATCGTCGAATCAAAATACAGACCATTTTCTTTTCACACGATAGAGGGTAAAATTATGTATTACAGATTGAACGCTTATGCTGTCAAATGCTTTTATTGAATTGGCCTTTGAATTAAATAAATAGTAAGTGTTATCTTGTTTTATAAAATATGAAACAATTAAATTTTAACGACTACCCTACTCTATCATTGATGAAATTGATAGTCTGCTCATTTCATTTAAATGATAATCATGTTATATTTTTTAGAATATGTGAGTAATTACATATTGTATTCTTAATAGTGTATAAAGCATTCTGACGAACATTTGCCTTCTCTTTTCACAAGGAAAATACTTTAAAGTAACAATATCGATTTGTTTACTTGTGTGAAGGAGGGTACGAATTAAATTTTATATTTTGATCGGTTAAATCAATGTGAAGATGAGACTACAACCAACAAAGCTTTCTGGTGATTTTGTGATACAATTTGGTAAATTGATTAAATACACGTATCTTATTAATTAAATACCCATGAAAAAGATATCTCTTAAAGAAATTGCAATTCACGCAATAAATGCAAAATATTTCAATACTTAAACATTGCTGAAATAACGTGAAAAAAGATTTAGATAGGTAAATTTTAAAAGTTTATGACAAAATGTCCACATATCATAACTGAAAGATAAACATGTCAATTATTTAATGATTAAATGACATAGCCAACACTAATGCAAATCTACGATAGTCTTAATTATGTCCCATGTTTTTTCTGATAACATATTCTAAATTCATCAACATTCCATTCCAAATATTTAAATCACATACATGTATCAAAGGCTTTAGAGATCGGATCTAACATCAAAACAGTATTTAAAAAATAAGTAGAAAAAAACCGATTAAGATAAAATGTTTTGACTGAATTTAAAGTATATCTTTAAAAACATTATAAAGTAAAGCTTTATTTATGTGAGAGAGGCATGAGATTGCAATATAATCACACGAGAAAAAGTTCTTTCTATCCTATAAGTAAATTGTCCGTGAATTAGTTTAAATTATTGTGATCGCATATATCGTACTTGTATGCATTTATCACGGAAATTTTGAAATAGTGGTCATCTTAGTAAAGAGGCATGTATGTGTTGTACATAAAACATGTTGAGTTCAAAATATATTTAAACATATTTAGCATATGAATGATGTAACATTTTTTTCTTCTTCAAATCTTGATATGAAAAATGTCTTTTGTTGCTGTTTACCTTGGAGCTATTTTGAAAAGAAACTTGTAATGAGGCCATAAATAATACTATAGATTCAACAGTATAGAAAGAAAATCAGTAAAATACACATTTAATTGTCTTCAACACTCTTATTTGTACAGGAAATTATTGAACATCAGCTTTGTTTAGGTTAATTGTTCGTAGTGTGAATATTTCTTAACACATTAGTTTCCAAATTTTCTATTTTGTTAGCAGTTAATACATAAATTAACTGTAATAAAATGTATAAAATTGCTATATTAAACACATATGTCAACTGTCACCCTGTATCTGAAGATAAAATAATTATCAACAACAACAAACAATCACAATTATGAGAAATTTTTGCTATCAAATACTATCTTCTTCAAAGCATTTAAAGTTTTTTAAAAAAAATATTCAATCTTGAAACAATTTATATAAGCAAACAGAATAAATTTCAATGAATCAAATTGCTTTTCCTAAATGTTACAGATACTAGTTGTGAATAAACTAACACAATATATGAAAAGAAAGTCTACTTTATTTTGACTCTTTCACTATGACAGTAATTGTCTTTTGATGAGAATCCTTCATTTACTGTACTATTGAACTGTCAAGGTATTTATTAGTAATCATTTGTTAACTGCTGTTGAATTACAAACAGACATGAACTAAACAAGTTACATCTCATTCCGTAATTATGTAATTTGTCTTAATCATCCTTCGTGACGTTAGTGGAACAGGTTTATGATATCCCCATTTCAATTACGCTAATTATTTCCCGAAGCATCTGTATAGTATCAATTCTTCTTGATACCGAAGCTATAACTTTTTACCGGGACCTGATCACTAAAAGCCACCCATAACTGCTATTTACATATTATTTACGAATGTTGTTTAATTTATTAAACTTGTACTGAAATATATTATATTCGGCAAGAAGCCCACTGTCTGTTCTCAATTATCGTTAGATATGTTTAAATATGCTACAATGATGCTAATTTTTTGTTTGTTTGTTTGTTTATTTGTTTCTGTCTTTTAAATTGTATTTGTGAATATCACAAAAAGTGATTACTAGCAACATATATTTTATTCACAATATAATAAAGAAAATGAGATTTTAATGCATTTACGTATAATGTCAATAAATATACTAATCAGTGACACAAAAAATTCTTCCATTAACTTCATTTGCAAAGAGTGATCTGGCATGCATAACAAATTTTCGTACTAAGATATTTTAGACAGCTTAACAATCTAGGCGAAGCACTGTTTATTCAATCTGTCATGACGAATTATTTCAATGTATGCATGAAATATAATTAAGAATATTTCAAACAAATTGCTATGTATGTTAATCAAAAGGGAAATGCAGTGAAAATTATTTACATTATATCTACATATTCTTTAAAAAAGATAATATAACACAAACACAATATAATCAGTTAAATATGTCATTGCCTTTTACACCAATACGCAAAAATAAAGACACAATGAATTTAAATTGTTATGTTCTATGTGTTTTAAATTCGAACAACCATAATATTGTCATTATCCTTTTACAGAGGATAGTTTTGGAATATATTTTATAAACCATTTCGTCATAGATTTCAGATTTTAATTTCATTTTAGATTCTTTCTGCGCTAGTTTTGAATGATGAATTTTGTAAACTTTCAGCCAAAAATTGCATCCATGTGTGTCAGACAACGTTTTCGTTTGCACGGATACACTACACGTGCGAAATTCAACACTTATAATACAAATCAAAAGTTTATTCTTAGTAGAAAACATATCGCTATCAGAATAAACATTAAGAATACATTTTTAAAGATTCAATATCAATAATGAATAGATGTTGTCAATATTTCTGTTATACATTTAAAAAAATGCCTGCTGAGCACTGGAAAGAGTATGTCTGTCTGAAATTGATAAAAGATTACTTTATCTGCAGTGTTTTCAGGTTTTGTTTTCTTCTTTTTACTCCCGTACATACTTTAAACTTAGTTTATATCGTCATTCAGAATAATAATGTATTTTTAAGTGTATATATTATAGATTGATTACATTTATATATCAATGTGAATTATGAATATAATTTTAAAAATAGTTGTTAGCAAAATATAAGGAAACAACCAATACAATCACACAGACCGACCAACAAAGACAGTTAATTAAATAAATAAAGTGAGATTTGCTTTCTGTTAAAGTCAAAGTCATTATGCTGTTTCGACAGTTATAAAATTTATTTGTTGCATATTGAAGAAATTGTAGTATGCAAAGTGAAGAAAGAATACTCGAAATGCCATAATAATTAGCGCTTTGTAAAGACAGTTGACACCATTGGATTTTCGAAATATCTTTTGTACATGCTTTATGAAATAAAAAAAGAGCATTTGCACACAAATTCTGATCTTTTGTACCGAAATGTGGTATGAATGTAATTAAAAGCTTTTAAGGACTTATGTTATTAGAATATTATATTGGAAAAGATATTACTACAATGCTATAGCGTCTTTGTTTTATTACTTAACATGAAATTTTGTATAAATCAGACTATTATCCACATTTACCTTTTGTATAAAACATCCATTTCAAATCTACTCAATACGTGTTTTATGTGTTCAGTTTTTGTAATAAAGTAATTTGGTGAAAGCTATAGTTTGAATCTGGTTTTCATTCATTGAAATAGGTTACCGCCGTTATTATATATTTGCTATTACAAAAGGGACTTACAACAAATTTTAAGCATAAGACATTTCAGTAACGCTCAATCCTGTGTAAGGTGCGTGATGGATGTTTCACTTTTGTCATTTTCTCATATGGAAAGACTCAGTCAAACCGAGTGTGTAATTTTCATGCAATTGTGCTGTTATAAATGCTTTCGAGTGGTCACTCTTCTTCCAGATTATTTTTACCACGGTTAATCAAAAGACTCGTATTATACTGCAGCTGGTTTATGTCAAACATTATAAAAGGTTACAGATATTCATATTATAATGTTGAATATAATAAGCATTTTCATACTACATGCTAAGTTTCCTTAGAAATGTACATTATACGTAACATCATATGTACCTCCTGTGTTGATATGTACGTTGTTTTATTTGTTAATTAAAACAAATGAAACAATGAAATGTTGGTATGTCAATAATTATATCCCTTTATGCATTTGTAAAACCGTTCATTCAAATATGACCTTAAATGTCTGGTTGCTATTAAGATAGGAGACAGCAATCCTGTCTATAAATTTTATATTATGATGCATAAAATGGGGTTATGTGACAGACTTAGTTTGTAAATATAAAATCCTATATCCTTGTTATTAGATTAAAATTGTAATAAGGAGATTGAAACTTATTAATGAATTGAATAACAGCAATAAAATCATATAAAATTATGCTTGATCAATTATTTCTTACAATGTCAGTTTAACAGCATATTTCACTGACATTTCCTTTAATTGCTCATAAGAATTCAATAAGAATTTTCGCATGGCACACACTTTCTCTAAAATAAAACTGTTCTGTGGGTTAAACTGAAGACATCTGGGAATGTTTGTTTATTCAAACTTTCACCATTTTAATGTTTGAATGTTATATTTTGCTTAGGGTGGTTCTTGGGGGCGTGGAAAATTACTTGCATTTTCAGGTGTCGTCCATGTACAGGCTCAATAAAATAAAGCCTGCAACATTTTCAAATTTGCCATTTTTGGTGTTTTTAGGGATTCTTTCT